CCCTCCTCGTATATAAAAAAATCTATAATTATTTACTGGTTATGAACTACTCGTATACATTTATATTTTTAAAAAATAATATAAAACTATACTGTTTGTGGATGATTGAGTATTGCAATTGCAATTCAAATATTACTTCATGTGTCAAATATTTGGAAAATTTAGTGTTCAACCAAAGAGAAACCAAAATGCCAAGACTGTCATTGATGCTGATCTTCTTTAATGACAGTCTCTTATATGTGGGAGGGACGAAAATTGGAGGTCAGGATTCCAGCCAATTACTTCTGAAAATGGTTCGATATGGCTTGCTATGTATCGGTAATTAGACTTGGATTCCAAATTTATTATCATTATCTCTTTGATTATTTTCATAACTAAACTTGCTTATATTCATGTTATCTTAGATTGTAGCTCTCTACCATATAGACTTCAAGTACTCCAAATGAATATTAGGAGTATACTCCCAACTTATCTTCAATTATTTGTATCTTTATTTTAATTTAATACAAAATTTCTTTTTACCAAAACAAAAAAAATGCAATTCAAATGTAGGAAAATAAAAATCCACATACACTTTTAGTTAAATAAAAAAAAGAATAACTTTTAGTCTCTAATTTTTTTAATTATATATATTAATTTAGTCCTTAAAATTTGAATCACAACATTTTAATTTATATATATTTTTGACTCAAAACAACACCTTTTTTTAGGTAAAAAAACAACATTGTTTTTATAACTTTTTAACTTATCACAATTTAATTTTTATAATCCATTAATTCAATAAATTATAAAGGTTGAGTTAAATTGAGTTAAAATTTAAGAACTAAATTAATAATAAGAAAATTAGAAATTAAAACTTACAACCAAAATATAACAAGTCATAATAAAGGAAATGTAAAGAACAACAAATACAAATACAAAGGCCATTCCAGTAATTAGGTCAAACTCTGGATACCCATCCGTTGAATTATAAATGGTACTCTCTCTGTATAAAAATGTAAGATATTTTTAATTAAATTTTACTCTCAATAAAATAGTTACTTACTTTTTAACTAACCCTATTTTTTCATATTTATCCTTTTTAAACACCCTATAATAAATATAAAGTGATTATCAATATGGGTGCTTTTAAAAAAAAGGCAATGATTACATCTCAAAAGATTAAAAATATCTTACATTTTTAAATATCCAACTTATTAAAAAATGTCTTATATTTTTAAACGAAGATAGTATATTTTTAGTAAAAGTATGGGTAAAGGAACAAAAATACTCACAAAATAGTTAACGACAAGTATCTAGTATTCTAAAGTGACGAAAAGGGCAAAAATATCCATAACATTATATGGATGGGTACAAAAGTAATCAGACCATTAATTTTGACTTAACACCATTAACTTTGACAGTTAAATACTAACTGTGCATGTCACGTGTCAGTCTTTGCTGACGTGAACTAAAAAAGAGGCAAAAATACCCACAAAATCATCGATCAGGAGCAAAAATACTCATAATATTACCAGAATTGGTGCAAAAGTGACTAATACATTCAATCCCTTAAATGTTGACTGTTTGGTTGACACCTAAGTAGAAGTTGACTATTTTTTTGCTGATATAAATAAAAACTATTTCAAAATGAATTTTTACGAATATTGATCGATCATTATATGAGAACTTATAATGTTACTTTAATAGGTATAATAGTGACCACTTCGTTAAAATCAATGCCATATGATTTCTTTCCATCACCACGTATCTCGCCCCTTTCTTTTCTCCTCATTTACTCATTTTTCTTATCTGTAAAACTTGAGATTTAATATAGTGAGATAGGTTATTCAAAATTGAAGATTCAAGATTAAAACTAAGCATATCTAACTTAAGAATATTGTTACAACTTTATGCAATTGCATTCACGATATATTCAAAAACTTTAAATAATTTTTACCACTGTTGCAAAAAAAAAAACAAGTAATTTAATTTGATATTTAGTCAAAATGACATTTTCTCACATGATATTCTTACAATAACTGATTAACTTTTAGAGACTTATCTAGAAATATTTTTTTTATATTAGTGAAAAAAATAGTCAACTTTTATTTAGTTGTTAGCTAAACGGTCAACATTTAAGAGATTGTATGTATTGATCACTTTTGCACCAATTTTGATAACATTATAGGTATTTTTGCTCCTGATCGATGATTTTGTGAGTATTTTTACTCTTTTTTTAGTCCACATTAGCAAAGATTGACACGTGACATGCACGGTCAGCATTTATCGGTCAAAGTTAACGGTGTTAAATTAAAGTTAACGATTTGTTTACTTTTACACTCATATATATAATATTATGAGTATTTTTATCCTTTTTATTATTTTAAGATACTGAGTGCTGATTATTAATTATTTTGTGAATATTTTTTTCTCTTCATCTTAAAATTATTTGTGCGAATTCCAAATTTGTTTTTAGTAAAAATTAGTGGACATGATGCCACAGCACGTAACGTAACCCAAAGCAAGGACGTTTTGTGGGTCCCGATCTCAAGCAAGTTGTCGGCTTATGGCAAAAATTCACCGCCTTGCGGGTCCCACAAGCCATATGCAATTTTGATTCTTATTCATATGTTTAGACTTTTAGATGGAACCGGTATTCTGGATTAAATTTGACGGGATAGTTTGAATTAACTTAAAAAATTTAAAATTAAATTTAAAATAAATTAATATTTTAATAAAAAATTTAGAATTAAATTTAAAAAAAAATTAATATTTTAATATTTAAGTTTATTTGGATAGCTCGAATAAGTTAAAAAAAATTTGAACCAAGTTCAATTAAGTTCAACCTTGGCTCAAATATTTGAATTAAATTTCTTTTAAAATTTATAAAATATGATAAATATTAATTAATTTTTTAAATTTTATATCATTTTATATCAAAATACTATATATTTGAGTATATTATTATAGTTATTTTTTAAAAAAATAAAAAATATTATATTTTCATATTTTTATCATTTTTAATCAATAAAATATCTTAAAATAATATTTAAAATACATTTTAATATTAATTTTTATATTTTAAGACCTAATTTTTTTAAAAAAAGTTTTAAGTTCTACACGCGTATAAAAAAATTAATTTTATATTTTTTTATAAAATAAAATAATTAATTTTAAAATAAAAATAAAATTCGGCCACGTACAATTTCTCTAGCTAAAAAAATTTGAACCAAGTCCAATTAAGTTCAACCTTGGCTCAAATATTCGAATTAATTTTTTTTAAATTTATAAAATATGATAAATATTAATTAATTTTTTAAATTTTATATCAAAATACTATATATTTGAGTATATTATTATAGTTATTTTTTAAAAAAATAAAAAATATTATATTTTCATATTTTTATCATTTTTAATCAATAAAATATCTTAAATAATATTTAAAATATATTTTAATATTAATTTTTAGATTTCAAGACCTAATTTTTTTAAAAAAAGTTTTAAGTTCTACACGAGTATAAAAAAATTAATTTTATATTTTTTTTATAAAATAAAATAATTAATTTTGAAGTAAAAATAAAATTCGGGCACGTACAATTTCCCTACTCTACTATTATATAAACATAATAAATAAAAAAATATTTTTGATTAATTATTTAATTATTATCTATGTTAGACTTGGTTAAATATTAAGAATAAATTAGAGTAAAAATTTCTTATATGTAAGGGTTAAACAATATAAAAAGATACAGAAAAATAATTCAAAATAATTATAATATTTTACTCATAATTAAATAATTTTGCTTTATATAATCTAATGATAGTTATTTTTTTATATTCATAAAAATGAAAAGTATAATTTTCTCAAAAGTCATTAAAAAATTTAAATTAATTGAGATAATAATTTTAAGTCAGTAGTCTAACTATCATTGAATTGAGATCAACTTGATCATAATTAAAATAATATAATTTAATTAAAAAATATAAAATATATATATATATATATATATATGAGACTATAATAAAAGTAATATTTAAACAATTAAGATATTAGTTTACAAGTAAAAGAAACATTCATGAATAAATTACATATAATACAACAAAATAGCAACAGAGTTACTTAAGTATAAAGTTAATAAATTATTTTTATTTTATTATTTTAAATTTAAAATAATATTTTCTGCTTAATATAATTATTTAAAAATTAAAATTGACTTAAAAATAAACAAAAAAATATTTTTTAAAAGTTTTGGGTATTCGGCCAGGCCCAAATAAGCCCAAAACTCAAAGGTATTAGGCCAAACTTGAGTATATAGGCTTTTTAGAAGGAGTATGATACTTTAAACTTGATCCAAATAAACCTGATTTGAATTGAGCCCGACTTGAATAAGCTCGATTTGCCTAAATTATCGGCTTTACTTTAACAGCTTGAGGGAGCATAAATATAATTGGGAGAATGACAGTTAAATTTTAAAAGGAATGAATTAATGATAATCAAATTTTTGATAAAATTTTTTATAAAATAAATTATAAATATTAATTTAAATAATTATAAATAAATTTTTTTATAATTTAAAAATTATATTTAATATTTAAATATTTATTTATAATTAAAACTCCTAAATTTATAATAATTTGAATTGATATTTTTAATTTATTTTTTAAAAAAATTTATTGAGAATTTAATTACTATTAATTTAGTGTTTTGAAATTTAACTGTTATTTTTTTGTATAATTTGTCATAAATTACAATATTATTTTTAAATTCAATTATATTATACTTGCATTTTGGGAAAAAAAACATATATCATGTATGCATATATTCACTTTTATATATAACTCCAGAATATCTTATCTCGTCTTTAATTTCAATCTACTAAAAAGTAAATATTCTTTCTTAAAAATTAAATCATTCATGGCGGATTTATAGATACCCTCAAACTACGTTTATCCTACATAATGACTAAAATACCCTCGTCCGTTCCATCTATAAAATCCGGAAATGCACGCCCTTCTCGTTTCATTCCCGTTCAGTGTTATGTAAAGTGTGAACTCTTCGGTGAGATCGAGAGGGCAAGTTTCTTCTTCAATTCTTGTTGAGAACCTCGAGAATGTTGGGAATCTTCAGCAGCTCCATCGTCTCACCGCCGGAAGAGCTCGTCACCGCCGGCAACCGCACACCGTCGCCCAAGATCACGGCGACCGCTTTGATCAACCGCTTCGTCCAGACCAACGCGTCCGCCGTTTCCCTGCAGATCGGAGATCACGTCCAGCTTGCTTATACTCACAGCAACGAGACACCATGGCAGCCCAGGTAATTAACAATGGCTCCTTCTTTCATCCGCTGAGGTCGTCGTGTCATACCGATCATAATCTTTTGTTAATTCTTGAATATGGACTTACGGTGCTCGGGGTTGGTAAGAATCTTGTGTTTGTTGCTGACAAGATGAGGTCTTAAAAAAGAAGAGAGTAGAAAAGAAAGTGGATCAACAATCAAGTGAGCTAAAATAACTTAATTTTTCATTCAGAAATTTCCGACAGATACCAGAAATCTATAATTTTGCGATCGGTGACGCTATGTTGTATTTTTATGGATTTTCTGGCTTAGATAAATTAATTTTCTCAGCTGCCAAACAGGATGGGACGAATTGTACAATAAAGCTCCTGATGAAATATAGAAAATAGGGAAAATGATAATTAAGAAGCATGTTCAAATATTTTCTGGGACCGTAATGCTGGAAATGAGATGCTTTAAAAAAAAAAAAAAATTCTGAAGCGGGTTGGTAATTTTTGACGGGTAAAGTAGGACCATGGTGCTCATTGCCACGAGCAATATAGATCATCTAGATATTATTTTTATATTTTATTTTATATTTATTAAAATAAAAATTATAAAATTTTAATAAGTCCATTTCATCGTTTATTTGCTCGATACAAATTTAATTTAAATGATTTAATTTTTAAATGAATTGACAATCCAGTTTACATTAAAAAATTTTTAACTTGCAATTTTTTCTCAAAGATCTTTTAAACGCGTGGGAATTATTTTTACTTTTATATTTTTATATTATATTTGCTAAAATAAAAATTTATAAATTTTTTAAAAAAATTAATATTAAATTTTATTATAAAAAATTTAATATTAAATTAAATTATTTAGATTAAATCTGCATCCTCTAAGTTAATGATAGAATAAATTTATTAAAATTTTATAATTTTTATTTTAACAAATATAAAATAAAATATAAAAATAAAATGTGTAAATCTGAACCGTTTAGATTTATAATTGGACGGTTCATATTGCTCATCGTGACGGGTCGATATCAAACGCGATGAAGTAGAGCTTAACCAGCAATATTTTGACACGCATAGAGATCCGCGGTTGATCCAATGGTCATGATTCCGCGATGATATGTTTATTAAATGTTTGTTTTGCATGATTGCCACGTTGCAACTCAATCGGCTACGATCACAAGGTGCCTGTGAAGTCAAACTTCTACTTTATTGATTATTGATTTGGATTCTCCTTAATAATTTTAACTACACCTGAAAAACTTGAATGATAAACTTGGAGTAACTATGATGATCTTAAATTAAATCTCTCCGTTCTTTTTTTACTGTAGTAAATAAATTCTTTCTGGGTTCAAAAATACAGGTCATTTGCTGTGAAGGACGAGGTATTCTGCTTGTTTGAGGGAGCTCTGGACAATTTGGGCAGCTTAAAGCAACAATATGGGCTAGCCAAGTCCGCCGATGAAGTGGTTTTGGTCATTGAGGCTTACAAAGCGTTACGTGATCGAGCTCCCTACCCTGCCAATCACGTTGTAGCTCATCTCAGTGGCAGCTTCGCTTTCGTTGTTTTTGACAAGTCCACTTCTACTCTCTTTGTGGCTTCTGTAAGTAGTGTGTGTGTGTGTGTGTATACAGTTACCCACCAACAGCAAAAAGTTTAATTAGCTTTAGACGATCACTTCGAACAATCTGCTTGTAATTTTTGACAGGACCGATTCGGTAAGGTTCCTCTGTATTGGGGAATAACTGCTGATGGATACGTAGCATTTGCTGATGATGCAGAGTTGCTGAAAGGTGCTTGTGGCAAGTCACTTGCTTCTTTTCCTCAAGGTGGGTTTCCTAACAAGAGATGTGTTTACATATCACTTGTTACGTTCTTGTTGTTGATGTTTTTGACATATGATGGTGCAGGATGTTTCTACTCAACAGCAATTGGAGGATTGAGATCCTTTGAGAATCCTAAGAACAAGATAACTGCAGAGATTGCAGAGGACGAGGAAATCTGGGGGGCAACCTTCAAGGTAACAAAATTACATGACTTTGAATAGATCAAATCAATTGCTTGCAGAGCAACACGTTCTCTGTTGATTTCTCAACCCATTACTTGCATAATTCATAATTTGCTGGGATCCGTGAAACATATCAGGTGGAAGGGTCAGCAGTTGCTGCAGCTACAGAATAGAAGATCTTTTTTCCAAGTGAGGAACTGCATGATCCTCTGGAATGTAATGAGATTGTGGTTACAAAAGATGAACAAGTTTAATGTAGTAGGGGCTTTGTATTATTCTCGTTTGGTTTCTTGTCTAGATTATGACGAAAAATATACCCCAAGTTCCTCATTTAGATTGGATTGGCATGCTTTGTTTCTATCATTGTACAGTAGCTGCTTTTTTTCACTCTAATAAATTATGCTTCTGCTTTTTGATTCTCACCTCCTTACTCTATCTCATTATACTGGTGATGAAATTTCTGCTCTAATTAATTAAGCTGGTTATAACTGATTGTTTCTCTATTGTCCAAGAGGGATTACTACTTATTAGAAGAAGAATCGATTCATTATTGCAAACCACAAATTATGAAACATTTTTGCATACCGTGTCTGTCAAATAACAAGGCCTTTCAAGTCTTACACTGAGCTGACTGTGTTGTGCAACAAGCTTGAAATGCTCTGTTTCATTAAAGTATGTTTTAAAGTTGATGAACCTTAACTCATTTGCTACACATTTTTTTATATTTATAAATTATTTTAACAATTTTAAGTCTCCAAGCATCTAAAACTCAAAAACATTTGTAAGTTGCTTTTTTTCCCCCTATTGGCTAGGGGGCTTTCAGTTTGTTGTTCTAAAAGCCCTTCAATATTCGGAATTTTTTTTTTTGGCCCTGGATATTCGGAGGAATTGATGATGTGCTTCTGAAAGCAGGAAAATATATTGATGAGAATTATAATGATCACGATTATATTGTACTGTGAAAATTGATAATTGGAAGTTGTTGCATCATATTTTATAATGTATTATGTAAACTTTGTAAAATCTATTATAAACCGTAGTAATCATAAGAACAACATGATTTGATTTAAATATTTCATGTAAAGCTTGGCTCTATGATATGGTCATTATTGAATTCAATAATTTTTAGATCAAAAGTTACCTATTATATATCAGAGGCTTTTACAGATATAGTCAACATTATGTGACCAAACCAAATAAATAACTCAGCATTTATTATATTTTACATTATGATTGTTTTATTATATTTGTCAATGATATATGGTTATAAATCAATGATAAATTCTTTATAAATTTTTAAATTTTCAATTATAAATTTTTAAATTTTCAATGATAAATTTCTTATATATTAATAATAAATTTTTTATATATTAATATGAATCGGCCGTATTTTCAAATTTTAAAAAATTTGGTCCATATTTTTTGAATATAAATATTTTTTAACTAATAGGCCATTTTATCCAATATATTACCCAAAAAAAGAAAGAGCACTATCACTTGAATTAGAATTAGATAGATAAAGTCGGGGTTCTCAGGAAACTTTTGTTTTTAACTAAAAACATACGCATCCTCTTCTCAGTATTCTTGATCAGTCACTTCAATTAAATGTGCCCCTTTTTTTGGGCAACAAAATGTGGCCTATTTTTATTTAAACAGAAACATCTACTGCAAATTGTAAGCATACAATGGCCTTTTGACCCAACTCTCATGAGTTTTGAAAGGTTTTTGGATTTGGTTCATATGAGCCCTTTTTTTTATTTTTATTTTTAAATGTTCCCATAAAAACTAACCATGCGCAGCAAGATAAGTAACTTCCGTTCCTTGTCTCTAACCCTCAAACGCTTTCACACAGCACAGCTCCATTTCTCTCACTCAGCTCTCAAATCCACATGCACAGACTTTTTGTTTTTTGGATAATGACATGAATATTAAAAAATATTTAATTTTGTATTTGGTCTTTTGAAATTTAGTTTTATAACAAGTTAGACTTGATACTATGTGATAATATCAAATTTATTTTTTTTTTAAAATACCCAAGCATTCAAACCTAGCCATGTGCCCGATTAGAACTTTAGTGTGCAAGATTGAAGAATCTCTTTTTTGATAGCATATAAGGAGCAGACGCTATGCCAAAAACAAAGATTATCTTTCTTGAGGTATAAAAGCTAAAGAGTATACCTCTCTTAACAAAATTACTATATATATAAGGATTGGTATTCAAACCTTTATCTATTTGCGTAAGTGATAAGAGCCCTTACTACTCATGCTAACTTTATTTGGTTTGCTAGATTGAATCTCTAGAACTTGACTTCTCTTCATTTCTTGATACTTCTCATCTCTACCCTTAAACCAATTTTTGAATGGTTAGGATTTAATATTTTATAAAACTATAATTAAAAGGATAAAAGTGCAAATTTACCCCTAAAATATTGTGTAAGTAGTGTCCGGTATCCTTAAGTAACAAAAATTGCAATGTCGCCCCTAATTTATCAAAAACAGAGCAATGTTGCTCAATTTTGACATACTTAAATGGTTGATCATTAGTTGACAGTAAGATATTTTAACTTGATGAAGTTGAATTGGTTGCCACATCATTTTTTTTCCTTTGGTTAACACATAGATTTATAACATCAAAAAAGGGAGAATATCAATAAAGACCTTTTAACCACACTTATTGAAATTCAAAGCCCCTAAATTTCTTAAATTATACTATAATCCTGAGGTACTGATTTGATTTTAAATTTATGAGAAAAATGTCAAAATTGCCCCTCATTTATGTTAATACTAGAGCAGACACAATATAGAAAGCATGGAAAAGAGATTGAGCATGGAAAATAGGTTTGGCAAGGTTAAAAAGGTCTTTTTTACAAAGTAGTGCCACATGCCGCAGCCAAGAGTACATCTACTACAGCTGGTTATACATAAGTCCTTTGCTGCGACGAAGCTTGTAACATCCTGAAATTTAAACTAAGATTAGTTAAATTAATTAAGGGCTTAATCAATTAATTGAGGCCTAGATAGGTTGGATTAGAGTAAATGAAAGACCATTGGGTCTAAAGGACTGTATATGGGGTTTAAATCTAACCTTAGGAGGCTATTAGACCACCTTGAGCCTAATGAGATAGGCTAATTTAGGGTTTCGATCTTGTGGCATCTGCTGTAGCAAATGGCATAATGCGTCATCGTAGATGTGTCAAGATTTTAAAATCTTGATTTGTGTCCAACTGCAAAAACAAAAGAGAAAAGAAAAGGGTTTGAGAGGAGAGCGATGTTCTTTTGTTAGGGCTTCTTGGGTCTAACTTTTTTAGAGCTTTCTAAGGCTTGGGATCACTAAGGTAAGTGTCTAAGCTTCCTCTCTTCCCTCTCTTGTGCATTTTTTATCAGTTTCTTGAGAGTGTATGTATGAAGTCTAAAAATGGGATGAGTTTGACCTAAGTTTTTGACTCTAATGGGGTTTTTCAACACATACCTAAGGGTTTAATCTCTCAATTAGACCATAGATAATGGTTTATGGTGTTAATAATGGGTTAAATATTAATCCTAATGCTAAGTAAACTAGATTAAGCTAATGGCATTATTTAACAATATTTATTAAGCTTAATAGAGGCTAAATAAGTTGATGGAAGTGAGTCTTATGGTTGATTTTTCTTAATTACACTTAATAAGGGTTCAAGGCCTTAACTATGATTAAAGTTAATTAATGACTATTAGTTATTAATGATGTTATTAATGATGAATTGTAGATTACTTATTCTTAGAGCTCTTGGATTGTTTGTGAGCTTTCTTGGAATCCAAATTGTACTCTTGGTAAGGTAACCCAAGTGTTGAGGCAATTGGAAGATAAATTCTAGTAGATAATTGTTGTCTACAATTATGAGTTGTTTGTTAATTGCTTGGTGATATGAATATGAAAGAATGATTATATTGATGATTGAGGATTTTTTGGCTATGACAAGAGTGAACAATGATGAGTTGAGCTTCATGAGTGAGTTGCAATTTGTGCTTAATTCAATGCTTGATACTAAGATAAGTATGAATATATGATTATGTCATGAGAGTAAATATTAATTATGAATTCTTGACTTAATAATATGCATTTGATCATGAGATATGTTAATCAAGTTTGCATTTAGGACATATCATTAAATAACATGAGTATGATAATGTTGTTCAAAAGGTTGTTACTTGAGTTGTGAAACTTGTTCCCATGTATTGAGATAGCTATTAATGAGAATATGTATCCTATGAATAGGTGAGTACGAATTTGATGAACTTGAATTGAGTATGTATTATTTATGTGATCATGAAATTGTAAGCTGAAGTGAGTATAATGATAACATAATGAATAAGGCATGGTGGTTGATGAATTATTGAGTCAATGAGATATGGATAATGCATGTGCATATAGTTATTGAGCTTGCATAAGCATGGTTAGGTGGGAGTTCCCTTGAGAGGTTGTAAGGGGATATTATTGGAAATCCACGTGATGTAATCTCCACTAAATTTATGCACAGTAGTTGGCATTATTATTATTACTACATGTGCTTAGTATTGTCATTAACCTATGGGTATGACATGGGTTAGACACAATGCACAATATCACTGGTTCCTATAGGGGATAGTATGGGTTAAGCAATTATAACATACTAGTAATTCAAGAAGGGGAAATCCATGATCTGAGAGTAGGAAGTGGGTACCTTGGCTAAGTAACCATTCACAATTGAAGAGAGGGCCTAACCTGATCACATATGTTAGTTCTATTTAATTGAATGGCCTATAGATTCAGTTAGTAGATATAAGGAGAGGAATAAGGATGGATTGCATATCATCATGCATAATTAACACCAATAAATGTTATGTGTTGTGAATGAGGATTAATGGTATTATGATATTTGTTGAGTATCAATAGAATGTGAAATGTGAATCTTTGCCTTATGTACTTGTATTCGTCACACTTTTATATACTTGAATTTATGTGCATTGGTTATTGAGATTGTATCATCTAACTACTGTTTGTCAACATTTTTTAGGAAATGTTAAGTAAGGCTAGGGGGAAGCATCGGAGACTAGAGATGCTTAATTTCATCAATAAAGTCTTTAGCTTTTTAGTTTGTGTAATTGAATACTCATTATTGCTAACACTAGGGGTTTGTAATTGTTAATAGGTTTATTGCATTTGCATGAGCCTAGTGTTGACTTGGGCAATCCTTGCTATGGCATTACTACTATTTTGCAAAAGGAACCAATCATGCAATTGTGTGATTAATTGTGACTATCAAATAAATTGGCATGTTAAGGAGTTAAACATGCACGGTTTGATTGTGATTTATGTTATTTATGGTTGTGTTAGCTAGTGGTTAGTTTTGAGGGGAGACAAGTGGTTCACAAATTGTAAGTGTGTCAAATATGTTATAGATCCAAG